TTACACGCGGTTGCTGAACGTGGAGTGGTTAAAACGGGCTCACTAACGAATATTAAGCTTTTTGAGATTATTTCAAAGTCTGATGCTTTTGTAAGTATACTACGTCAGTCATATGAATTTATTAGATCTGCTTACCTTTCAGTAAAACGCTGAATGGTTCACTTTAAATCACCCGCGGCAGCTGCATGCCAGGAGAAAGTTCTGCTGCGATATAATCACTGAATGAAACGCTGCACTGGCGTGCTCTTCCCCTTTGTAGCGAGCTCATGCTCAGAGTCAGGCAGGGGTCTGTCTTCATACCTCTGTTCCTCTGAAGGGTTCAGCTCGGGTCGCGAGGTCAGCTGGTATCAACTCTGCGTCAGACTGACCAACGAACGCAACAGCAGAGCGCGTAAAATGCTCACCAACGCTGGATTAAACATAAACACGACCTAAATACAATATTGAACATGCCACAGTGTTAAGAGCAGCAATATACAAATGTTCAAATGGTGGTAGTGTTTGCGTTACAGAAATCCTGAATTATTTTGTGTAGTTACTTGTAAATGCACTTTACGCTGTTGTAGTGAATTATTTTGAGATGTAATATGTAACAGTCTTTGTGGTTATGTTGATATACTTGGCAATAACAGAGGCAATTGATCTCTTGATGTAATTAGACTAGATCAAACGAATATGCTGGGTTCAATACAAATTGTGCTCAATTGACAGCATTTGTGGCATATTGTTGATTATGCCTACTACAAAAATTATTTGCCACTTATTTTCTTGAAAAAAAAAAAAGAATCAAGTTTTCACATTCAGTGACCAGTTTTGGGGAAGTTAAAAGCAAAAATGTGAAGCTTATACTAAAAATGGTAAAAGCTTTCATTAATACTTCTGTTAAAAAAATTATAACTTGAGCTGTAAAGCTGTTCTTATCATTTTATTGGTTGTTTTAGGGATTTAGCCTGTTGTCATGACAACAAAATTATTGGATGTGGATTGGCCTTTTCTTCTACTGAGCGCCCCATTGTCAGATTTAAAAAAAAAAAAAATTTTTGTCTACATGCCACAACAGTACAACTTAACTTGTACTGACCCTGGAAGATTCCTTTAGTTAAAAGTTTGTAGCTGATCTTGAATTCTGAATCGATCTAGCCAGTCCAAGATCTGTTTCACAAGACAGGCCTGCCTTTTTGGTTGTTTACAAAATATTAAATATGTGCTGGATTAACTGGAAAAAGCCTAACCTGCATTCTTGACTTAATTGTTTTCATAGATTTCACCCGCAGTGATACAACACTTGTCAGAGTCTGTTTTGTTTTAACCAAATGCACTTGTGATAGTAGCCATGCTGAATGGAGAAAGTGACTTTAAGCTTATGAGCAGCTTTACACATTTATCTGATGTGTAATCCTGCAGAGCTCCTTACAGGCCATCCTTTCGGCACAGTATTGGCCAGCCTTTAATTTCATAAATTATTTATGACATTATGTAACAGGACATCTCTGGTCAGTCTCTGTCCACCACAGGTCCTTGACCTGCAAAAGGTTGAATTGCTAATAGATTAGAAAAATTATTCTAATCTAGTGCTTGTCAAAGGTTTGAAAACATTATGATTTTTAAATATTTTTAATGAAATCTCTTAGGCTCACCAAGGGTGCATTTATTTGTTCAAAAATATATTGAAAACAATAATATTGTGAAATATTATTACAATTTGAAATAACTATTTTGTATTTGAATATGTTTTTAAATTTAATTTTTTTCCTGTAATGCAAAGCTGAATTTTTTTATTTATTTCTATTGAAACACATACACACAACATCATAAAGACTCTTTGTAAAGTAGTCCTTCATTGAGTTACTGCTGTAACAAACTGTACAATGAAACCTTATTTCTCAGTCTTCCAGTCAGACACAACTGTTACTGTATTTCTTACCTTAAAGAACCTTCACCCTTAAATAAAGGAGTGTACATGTGCAACTAATTTGATCAGATGAGTCAGGATATGTTGGCAGAATATGCTGGAACAGAGAAATTATTCATAGAGTGGCATTCTTTTAATTTCCATGTGCTCTTAAAAGCTTATACGGTATGAAGACCAATTAACAATTTTTTACTGTTTTAAGAGCAGTTTTATTACTGCAATTCCACATAATAAGTACGAACACATGCTCTGTTATGGCTTGTGACGTCTCTGTTAGATTAAGTACATTAAGGCAGTTGCTTAAGTCTGAGTCACTGAGCCTACACACACACACACACACACACACACACACAGACAGAGCTCTTGAACAGATATCACAGGGTGAGTTGAGGACAGAGCGATGTCAACACTTACTCATCTCCCTCTCTCTATCTCTGTCCGGTTTTCAGTGTATGGTGTAAATTGTTGTTTTGAAGCCGAGTCTGCTTAGTCTGGTCAATCTGCTCAAATGCATTTTATCATAGACAGCAAATGCAAAGTAGCAATTAAATGCAAGAGGAGCAACTAGTATCCTTTAATCTCCACAGTACAACATATGGCTCAATTTACTGTTATAAAATACTGAAAAAAAAATATTTCACTACTTTCAGATATTCTGAGTGTTAAAACTTTCTTGGCTGATTTAAGAAAATGTGCATGATATGCAGCAAAATAAGACTAAAGAAGGGTATTGTAATAAATAAAGAGGGGATTTTGCATTAATATTATTTCCTCATTTTTGAAAAGTAAATTGTTCGTCATAAGACTTCCATGAGACAACTTGTCAATTTGCACCTTTTT